TGCAGCTGGGTGTATCCCCCAAGCATTTAAGGGCACCATGTCTCCCTGAACATGAATGTTCTTCCTCTACGCCAGAACGCAGGCTGGGAAGGTAGCCCACTGCAGAAACACAGAATCCTTTACTTGGCTTTTGTGAGTCCCGTCATTCATCTTTCCACATGCATATATTTGATTAAATCTAATTGCAGGTTCCTCTAGAAGTGGCACCAAGCATGGCACAATAGTGATGGTATAAGTATCACAAGTCCATAGTCTGGTGACTGATGGGCAGGAGACTTTACTAAACAGTAAGTGTGATGTGGAAGGTGACCCAGTGTATTTCTTTGCAGGTGTTTTATTCACTGAGGAGGGCAATGGTGTGGTGGGAAATGGAACAGTGGGAGAGGGGTGTGATTAATTAGTACACAGTCGTAAGTAGCACTATCCAGACCCCTTCAGAGCTGAGAAAACTAGAGGTATGCACCAAGCCCATGGTCAGGTAGCTGGCACTGTCAAGGGACAGAGTTGCCCACAAATCACGTGTCTCTCCCCAAATCACATACACAGCACATGCTTGATCTGGAGGTTTGTGACTCCCCAGATCATTACTTTATGCATCGTACCACACTCTAGGTGGCTACTGCTCAAACATCAGATTTTTTAGTGGCAAATGGGGCATCACAGTCCTGCTCATCTTACAAGCTTGGTGCTGGCAATCTGCACCTGCACCGTCATCCACTGAGGAAGGTAGAGAACAGAAAGGATAACAGAGTAGACGGTTTGCTAGTGAAAACACAGTGCATGGCACTCTCTCCTTCAGGCCCCAAAGCTTCACTGCTTTGATGTTACTGACATACGGGCCTTAGGGCAAGCTAGCTATGTAAAATCAAGGGATACTCAGGAGCTACCGGTCTTCAAAAAGACTATCCCACAGGCAGTTTAGGGAAAGTGTGGGCCATGCCCACCATGATCTCCAGCAAGGCCATAAAATAATGTTGGGGGCTATACCTGCTCTTCCTGGACTTACCTGCATTTGACACTCATATGTTTTTCCCAACCAGAAACTTCTTTGCTTATCCCCAGTGGAGACCTGAGAGCAGACACTAAAGGACTCAGCACTCCAATGCTTTTTTTTCTTGCACTGTTCTGGATTAGGCATGGGTGTTAGGAAAGCAGTCAGGGGTGTAGTTGGCATTGCACAGCTCAGACTCATTCCTCTGACCCTAGACATTGCAGAATATCCCACTTGAGGAGGGAAGGATGGGCAGTTCCCACAAAGACTTCAACCTTCACATGAGCTTGTAAGATGTTTCCCACTTAGGATTCTGTGATTCCAGTGACTGAGCTCACAGTGGGAAACAAGAAGAGGTTTTGGAGTGTGGGTTGGAACACTGAATTAAGATAAGAGTTTCCAGTCCTCAGAGTTTAAGTCTCCTAGCTCGCAAAGAAAGAAAGAAAGAAAGAAAGAAAGAAAGAAAGAAAGAAAGAAAGAAAGAAAGAAAGAAAGGAAGAAAGAAAAGAAAGGCAGATTTCTAGACCTCTTCCCATATCTTCTTGGCATCTGGAAATGAAGCCTAAATATCGCTGCATTTAATAAACTCCCCAGGAGACGCATAATGAGCCAGCCTTCAACTGACACTTACTCCAAGCTGCTCCCAATTCACCAGACTTCAGCCCTGGAAACCTGGTAACTCGTCTTTCAACTGGCATTGGGTGGGTATCTTTGTCCTCTAAGTCTCAGTGTCCTTGTTTATAAAACAAAGATAGTGAGATGAATATAAATATCAGAGGATTGTTAGGAGGATAAATGAGAACATGTAGATGAGAGGTTAGATGTGACTTTGAACTGTGTCTAAATTTCCTTCTGGTTTGGAAACAAAGCCACATCTTCTGGTCTGACGTGGATGAGAATCAAGCAGAGAAGTCAAAGCATAAAGTATGCGAGTCTCATCTTGGACAGGGGAGTTATGCCATGGTTTGAAATGTTTAAGGAGCAAGCTTTGTCTCTCTTCCCTTCCCCTCCTGCCCCTTCCCGTTCTCTTGAGAAAAGCCCTTTAATTTCACCTATGTATCAGTCCCCTTATCTTCCCAAAGAATGACTCTCCCAGCTTCTGAGAAAACACCAAGCTCTCCCTGCAGTAATCCCACCCTGAAAAGCAGCAGTCTGCCAGCCCAGAATGAGAAGAACAAATTTATTTCTTTTCATGCTTTAAGATGTTATTGGCTGCATATTGTTTTAGTGCGGTGCATAATTACAGAAACTGCTCGGAAAATCTGTATATTTTATCTGTGTTTTATTACACCCAGAATATCCCCCAATTCTTTTTCTTCTCCCTGAACCAGCTTAAAATATATTTTGGCATCCTTTATGTCATCTTGAAATTGAATAGCCAATTCTTACTGTAATGAAAATACTTATGCGCCAGCCTGGTGATATACAACACTACACTCTAATTACGGCTGTGCTTTAATTAACCTGAATTGAAGAGTGTTATCATTAAACTGCTGGTAACTTTGAATTATGGCTTTTCTTTAATTTAAAGTAGAAAACACAGATAATTAAGCCTCCAGATAATCAAATGCTTGAGGAGAGTTTCAATGTTTTGGGATGTTCCTAAATCTCATTAAATGTCCTTTCTTTATTGATCAGTTCCACCTCTGCCGTATCACTGCATTAAACGAATACCAGAGCTACGTTGAACACAGTCTCACTCACACCCAAAGTTGGCTTTTGTTTTACTTTTTGCTTTTTTATTCCAGAAGCTTTACTAAACAAAATATTACTTTTTCTGACAACAAGATAGGTCTGGGGGTTATTTCTCCTTTGGGGGACATATTTTAAATATGAAAATCAATCAAGGAAAACATTGGAGCAGTCACTCGATCCATGAATGCCTGGTTTGGAGGTGACACTGATGGGCAGTGAAGCCTTATAATGCCCAGTGGACCAGTGCTGGCCAGACCACTTGCAGCCACAGGCCAGGTCTAAAATGCTGATGCAAGTCTGTTGTAAGACAGCAAATGGGAGCCATTTAGCACTGGTAGAAACGCAGGACCTGTGTGTTTACATCACATTTCCAAGACAAGCAAGGATTCTCATTTATATATGAGTAAAATAAACAAATAGCCCTTAGAAAATTAAAGACTAGGGAATCTATGCGAGTCCACATGGGATCCCCATTACAGACTCTAGGGGGAGCAGTCCTCACCTTCAGGTTAGTTCTACACTGGCCTACACTCAGTTTCCAGAGAAGAGAAAGCCAGCAGAAAGAGCCAGGGAGCTTCTGGAAAAGTGCTCGTGTAAGAGATAAATACTAGTCAAGCCAAGGACACTCAATAGCCAAGAAAGGGGGCTCTACCCCTCACCTGCTAACACCCCAATGCCATAAGACATCTGGTCTGGCCTCAGCCACCCAACACTTGACTTGAATTGCCTAGTCACTGAAGCTTCTACTCCAAGTCCTGACTTCTGAGCTTTCTATTCACAGCAGGTTGAATTCCAATGAGAAGATCCCCTGGGTCAGTCACAGAGTCCCAGGCTCTAGTGCCTCTGAATGGTTAACTTCCCAATGCAAAAAGAGAAATGGCCCTCAAAAAAGGAATATTGAAGTTACAACAGGGCATCCATCCATTTTTCAGAAAATAACTCCTTCTGAATCAATTACCTATTCACTTTTCCAGTCCATTTAGCATTTAAACTTTCGCTTAGAGACGGAGAGAGATTTCAGTAAACAGCCAAGCCATTTCCGAGTGCGCAGGGCCCTGGACCCAGGGACTGGCAAGAGTGCACCTGCTGTGCTCTCTCAGAGTCTCCAGGTAGACAGGAAGCCAACATGCACTCCGCCCCCTCCTGCCACTCACACAACCGAGCAGGGTGACACAGCTGAGCCAACATCCCCCGGGACTTTCCTCTCCTTCACTGGAAAGGGCACTCAGTTTTGTTTCTATGATTTCAGTCTTCCCTTGCCAGAAGATGTGCTTGATTTGTAAGCAGGCAGGGAGGAAAATGAAATTGTTTTTCCTTCTCAGCCCTGTGGAGACTCAGATCCCCATTTCTTCCCATATTTTATCAGCAAAACAGAGATTTATCAAACCTTCACTATGGTGACAAATGTTCAGACGAGGTGGCCCACCGTGTTCAAGGAGTTTGTGTTCTCCTAGGGACAGAGCCTCCCTTTGTCTTGAACCCAACTCCTGACTGTAAGTGGAGAATCTGAGGGACCATCACGTCTCATGGTGGACATGTAGATCCCTGAGATTGTGTCATCCCCCATAAATATGCTCTTATTCTGCCGAAAGGGCCATGGCATGCTGTCCATGCCCTGATGCATCCTGCCAAGCCAGAAAAAGGAGAAATCAAACCATGGCCTCACTGGAATAAGGTAGTTGTCCATGCAGAGCTAAAGTGCAAAGGGCTTTTGCAAGAGCTTTTTCTGTACCTTTGGTCCCACATTTCCTTCATAAATTGTGAAAGTTCTTAAAGGGCTTTACTTCAGTAGCTTCTCCTGGTGTTCCTATGATCTGATTCGATTAGAAGGCAGATGAAAGCTCCTTTATCAAGGGGCTGGCAGGATTTGTTTTTGCCCAATTGAATCAGCGAGGTGCTGGGAGCGTAATTTAATGTAAAACACATGCTTAGCATGCAAGCTCCCTGTACCAAAATAATAAAGAAAAGAAAAATCTGATATACATGGTTTTAAGTCATCCTTCTGCACACAAGTGTCTACATTATAGAAGTATAATTCAAGATACACAGGCTAATTGCAGTTCATAAGGTAGTGTAAATGATGGATCCAAACTCAAGATTCTAGGACCCAAGGGAAAGCTGGAGGCCAGCAGAAATCCCCAAGACATGGACCTGAAATGATTCATCTTCCTGTTCTTCATCACATGGGGCTGAGCACCCAGGACACCCTCAGTACATGTCAAGGGTCCCCACCGTGCCAGCCAGAGGCAGGCGGCTTGAGGGGCACAGTAAAGATACCCACTAGTCAAAGAGTATCCAGTTAACAGCCACTTACTCACAAACAGTAGGGAAGGACAGACCCACGAAGGCACTGGAGAGATATTCTGTGTACATTTCATTGGAGACTCCTTCCAGGTAGTATTTCTGCCATGTGTCTTCCTCAATCTAAGGGAGAATAACACAGGAAGCAGGCTTAGAATACCATCGTGATAGACTGTAAGAGGAAACTAGACTTACAGCCTCTGGCTAGCAATTGAATGTATGCCCTAACCAGTCACAACCATAACACCACAGAAAGCTTCCTTCCAAGGACCCTAAGCTCATGGCATTGAGGTTCATCCTTTTTAAAGCCATACCATTTTGAATCTTTAAAGTTTCTAAAGGTGCAGAGATGTGAGCTCTCACTAACAACAACGATAGACAAGTATACTAAAACAACTTATCTGGGAAGTGATATTGTATTTGTTTTCAAAATTTGTAAAAGTGTATACTCTTAAACACAATTCCAATTTAGTCATAGCCAGGAAATAACTGTACTATGTAAGTATGCAGAGATATGTATAAGAATATCCTTTTTAATTCCTGAAAAAATTAGAAATAACCGTAGAGAGCACACTTATACAATGAAATAATGAGAATCAGTGGAAAATTATTATAAAAGTACATATCTACATAATAATTATGTAAACATATACCACAAAGTAATGTGTATAGCCTGACCTTATATTTAAGTTGTTCGGGATTGTTCATAAAGCTACAAAAAATGTAGGAAGCTTTATACCAAATTCAAACAATTCAATTATCTCAGAATGATAGAATAGTTTTTTTCTCTATGGATTACTACATGGTTCAAAAGCACATTTCTATTCTGAGACTAGAAATTTTTAGACCTTAACTGAAATATTACAACAGGTAAAATTTGCCTGCAAAGAGGTCTTGCCCTAAATTTCATTAGGGGAAAAAAATCTATCTTTTGTTAGTTCACTGAAAGTTTTGTACTATTACTTCTTTGTAAAAGAGAAAGTTTTTTGTCGATGTCTTATACTCTGAGTAACTACTTTGCAGATAACAATACACAGTATATTAACTATTGTTTTTCTCTTACTATTTTGATACAAATTTTCTCTTATTTTTTATAAGATAAAAAAGAAGAAGATATACTAATCAACTTCAACTAGTTTTCCTAACAACTTGCTTCATGGTGAGCATCTTAGAAGGACTTTCCATTAAAATCAATCTTTAAAAACTGTATCTTGCCAGGCATGGTGGCACACCCCTGTAATTCCAGCAGTCTGGGAAGCTGAGGCTAGAGGATGCAAATTCCTGCCCAGCCGAGGCAACCTGAGGACTTAGTAAGGTCCTGTCTCGAAATACGGAAAACAAAAATGCAGGGGTGAGGGTTGAGGGTGTAGCTCAGTAGAAGGCCCTAGGTTCAGTTCCCAGTACTGGAAAAAAAACAAGCAAACTATATAGAAGTTAGTAAAAAGGCTGAGTCTGGGAGGTTGGGGATGTCAACAGAACTCCCTGTGTGTCCTTGGGCACCCTTAACTACACAGCCAGAGAAAGATGACAGGAGGCTGTCTAGTCAACAGGAAGTAGCTCTCCACAATTTCTGATTCTGTTCCTGTGTTAAAACACATCCATCTGGTGCCTGTTTGGGCCTTGGAGAAAACATTTGGGTGTGAAGGAGACACGGAAACCACAGAATCAGGCGCAGCCATCATCTACTTAGAGACACTCTCATGTGCAAAAGCTAGGTAGAGGAAAACAACTAGAAATACACTGAATGCTGTCTGCCTGCACACTGTTGTCTATTTTGTACTCAGTCGGGCTGATTAGCTGATGCAGGTTTACTTCATTAGATTAAGTTGTCCCTACCCTACTCCCACACCTTAGGCATCAGTTGTGCAGTGTTGTTGGGTATGGGCTATTTACCTCCAAATTAGTCTTCCCCAGAGTATGATCTTTAAAAAAATAAGTCACTCAACCATCCTTCTTCCTAAATGGTATGATTTTAAAAATTAACTGCAATACGTTCAGCTAAGCATGAAGTTTTTCATTTCTCCAAATCTAAGATCTCAATAATTTTCTTCAAATAAAAGATATTCACTAATTTTAACAAATTTTAAGTCAGTTTAGTGTGCCTTAATAAAATGTTCAGATAAAAAATAATTGAGGATCTCATCATAATTCATCAATCAAGATCGTAACTGTTTTTGGCAAACAGAACATTATCTGAAATATGGCTGATTATAAATCTTCATAGTAAAGCTTTATGGGCAAATACTATTCCTAAAGTAAAAGAATTCAACTTATTCCTTTGCAAGAGACATTTCATTTATGTGTTGTTTATGTTCTGATTTAGATACTATAATTCATCTTCAAAACCAGTGAAAATACAAACCACTATCTTTTCTTTTTGTTTGTTTTGAGACTGGCATCCCAATGTATTCCAGGTGGTCTCCGGCTCATCTTTCTTCTTCCTCAATTACCCAAGTACTAGGATTATCAGTACATGCATCATGCCTGGCTGCTTTCACCTTGTTCTTGACTGTTACTGATATTTTTCAGCTAATACGTTTTGTTTTGTTTTTTTTTTAAATTACTCTCAGTGTTTTCAAGCCCCTACGTCCTAATGGAGTTACTCTTTTAACCCAATTTTAGTGTAGGCTAATCACTAATTTTCTAAATAAGTAGAAACAAATTCATTATAGGATGACAACATTATGCAAGTTCTTTTAAATTTAGCAGGGATTGTTCCATTGATTCATTCACTTAACGAATATTTATTGGGCATGCTCTATATTTTAGGACTTGTTCTAGTTGCTGATTAAATCTTCTTTCAAACTGGTATTTACTTTCCCATATTTTTCCCTTTGCTGGAAAAGGGATATATCTGGCTAAGCAGATATATCTGGCTAAGATGTATCTGTCTAGATATATCTGACTTTTACTGATTTTTCCACATCTCTTTTTTGCAACTTTTCCTGTGTGGCTAACCTGAAATGCCTGAAGACTGCAAGTCAAGTAATTGGGGGAAATATGTGCAGAACATTCTGTAAAGCACAATGCCTCTCCTACATCCATCTAGAGATGCCCGGCTGGTATCTACACTGCTAGATCCAGCAACATTAAATCATCAGTACAGATGTTGAGGAATTTGAGGCTACAGTTATAACACTTTGCTTAAAATTTCCACACCGTTAATATACTTTCACATGCATAGCCAGCATATTTTGGAGCTTTCTGATGAAGGTGATTCACATAGACATACAAATTCAAAAGTTATGAATTGGGTTATGTTGGCACCTTTTCAGGCGTAGTTGGTCGGAAGATAAAATGAACTTGCTATGGAAAACAGTGGTTCCTCAAAAAAATTATTTTTTAATTATTTTTTTTTTTTGTATTGGGAATCAAACGCATGACCTTGTATTGCCAGGCAGGCACTTACAACACTGAGCTAAATCTGCAGCCCTCCTCAAAAAATTTAAAACAGGATTACCATATGATCCGTGATTGCACTGCGTGGTTTATAACTATCAGAAATGGAAGCAGGACCTCCAAGAGTTTGCCAGTGTGCCCATGCTTATAGTAGCATTACTCGTAATAGTCAAGAGATAGAAAAAACTTAAGCGTCCAGGAAGGGATGGATAGATAAGCAAGATGCAGTACACATATATAACAGAATATTATTCAGCCTTAAGAAGGAAGGAAAGTCTGACACATGCTAAAACATGGATAAACTATGAAAGCATCCTGCACAGGGAAATAATGGGATCAGAAAAGGATCATACATATTTTATGATTCCACTTATTTGTGGTACCTAGAGTGGTCAGATTCATAGAAACGGAAAGTAGAAGGGTGATTGCAAGGGCTGGGGGAGAAGGGGTGGGAAGTCATTGTTTAACTTATACAGATGTCAGTTTTGCAATATAAAAGGATAGGGATGGATAGTGGTGACAGTCATATAATCACATGGTTGTACTTAATATCACAGGACTGAACCTTAAAAGTGGCAGGGTAGTTTGTGTGATGTTATGCGTATCTTGTCACAATTACAACTTCATTAAACTCATATGTATAATATAGGAGCAATCACAGTTAATACTGAAACCACTTAATCCTTAAAGGTAAGAATGACAGATTGTGCTAGAACACAACAGGATAGCTCAGGCACATCAGGATAATCAAAAAGCATGACTTAGGACACTGAAATGCATCCCAAACTCGAGCAATGGAATTTTAATCTTCATACATACATAAGGGTTTAAATTAGCACTTTCTGTCAAGATTTATCTTTTTAAGTCTCAAGCAAATTTGCACTCTGAAAAGTGCAAATTCAAAAATGTCCATTTCTGTCCCCTCTGTCACTGTATCTCTAGAAGAGGAAAGCTTGATGTAAAATATGCTTAATTTTTTTATTAGCATGTGCTTGTGATACAGAATAGTTTGGAGAAGCAATATATATCATATTGAAATATATATTATATATATTATGACTAATATCAAGGAAAAATGTGAACAGAGAAATCCGGAGCAGGTAAAGAGAGGTATCATTATGATTCCCTTCACAGGCAGTAAAACCAAGGCACCTATCAAAGATCACAAACCGAGTAGTACAGACAGGATCTAGAGTTCATACTGTCAATAGTCCACTACAATTCCTCTTCCTGGGGAGCACACAATAGATGTCAATTATCCATGTTTCAGCAAAGGTTAGGGAGGGTTTGCTGTGCGCATGTTCAGTGGGGGAAACGTCAGAGCAGAAGCCCCATCCAGGACTCAAAAGCTCAAACCACAGAGCAGAGCCCATGCCTGAGAGGGCACTGAGGACCACTATGTTCTGAGCTCAGAATAGGGTGGTCCATACCTCCTCTCCGCACAAAAAGCATCATTTCTGTCATATAAAATGGAATCATCCTAGCCTACAGCTTCTTCCAAAAATAGTACTCACTGTTCCCTACATTTGCATTGTCAATGTATTTTTAACTGTAATATGAAGACACACTTCCCAGCAGAAAAAATGAAGGAATAGGACCAAAATGACTTAGGGAAAGGTGCCAAAATTAATTTGCCAGCGATTCAGCAATCAGTCAAAGGCAAAGCATTTCCTGAGGCAGCAATTTATCCTCTGGCTGTCACATCAAACCCCAGCTGTTTTAGG